TTGCCTAGCACATATGAGGCACTGGGTTAAATCCTTAGCACCATATACAAAAATAAATAAAATAAAGGCATCCTGTCCATCTACAACTACCAAAAAAAAAAAAAAAAAGAATACACAGGACCAGAAAGGAACCAATCATACTGAAATACAGTTGCCAACACATTTGGAAAATACCCTGCGGTACAGTAGAATGACAGCTTCTGTCAGCACCCATGATGAGCCCTGACAGCAGGTCCAAGCAGCAGTGCACGCACAGGAGTCATGAGGTGCCTATGACAGCTGATGTGGAGAGCCAGTGTGCCTGGGAGCTCACTGGGGACCAGCAGCAGTGCCAGCCCTACTGTGGCCTGCTTCCTACACTCACAGAGGAAAGTGCACACTTCCAGGTTGAGCCCGGTAAGAAGCCCACGGCCCATGAGCTACCCAGGGATGTCTGGTCCCTGTGCTCAAGTGAGCCCTGGCAGGTGCTGGGGAGACACCCACCTCCAGCAGGTTCATGACGAGGAAGAACAGCAGCAGGAAGGCAGGTGCGAAGACCAGGCGGTCCAAGAGGAGCCTCCTGATGCCTGCCCAGGGCGCCCCGGGAGGGATCCAGTGGTCCATGAGCAGGTAGAAGTAGTGGCTCAGCGGGCCTGTGATAAAGAACCTGAGGTCCAAGGTGGTGTGAGCAGGTGGAACTTCTGCCTTCCCATGGCTAGGAAGGCAGGGCCTCACCCCAGATCCATCCCAGGTCCTATGCACCCCCCACTGCAGGGTGTCACATGGTCTACAGCAGGGCTGCTCAGAGAGCACACTGAAGTACCTGGGACGCTACCTCCCAGCTGTTCTTCTTGCGCACTGCTGTCTAGGGGAATCCATTTGAGCCTCACAGGAAAATGACTCATGCTAGCGTGCTTGCAAGTATAAAAAGACTGTGAATTACAGATTTTTAATATTTATTTTTTAGTTTTTGGCGGACACAACATCTTTGTATGTGGTGCTGAGGATCGAACCCAGGCTGCACACATGCCAGGTGAGCGCGCTACCGCTTGAGCTATATCCCCAGCCCTGAATTAGATTTTTAAAAAGTTACTCTTGGGCTGCGGATGTGGCTGAAGCGGTAGCGTGCTTTCCTGGCATGCGTGAGGCACTGGGTTCGATCCTCAGCACCACATAAAAATAAAATATATTGTGTCCACTTAAAATTAAAAAATAAATATTTTTTTTTTAAAAAAAGTTACTCTACAGGCTAGGAGAGTGCTTGTCTCATGTGCATAAGTCTGTAGGTTCCTCCCAGCACCACGCACACAAAAAAGATGCTTCTGTTGGAAAGCATTCAGTCAAGGTCACATACATTCAGGTTGGTATGCCCACAGACTGGAAAAGACTTCAAAATAATTCATCTACAAAACTAATGTTGGTCCAAAAGCTCAGGGTAGACTAAGCTGTTAAAACTCCTAGCTGGGCACAGTGACAGGTACCCGTAGTCCCAGATACTCTGGAGGATGAGGCCAAGAGATCATCTGAACTAAAAATTTGGAGCCAGTAAGACCCTGTCTCAATCCCCACTGACTCCTGCAAACAAAACAAAACAAAAGGGGGTGGGGATGTGGCTCAAGCAGTAACACGCTTGCCTGGGATGCGCAGGGCGCTGGGTTTGATCCTCAGTACCACACAAAAATAAAATGAAGATGTTGTGTCCACCGAAAACTGAAAAATAAATGTTAAAAAAAAAAAAGTCCTGAATCTTTGTGTCTCTGTGATTCAGAAAGTGGTTCACAACCTGGGCATTCTTCAAGACACAACATTTGTTTTCTGGTGGAGCTGTAAAAACAAGAGAAACTGACTCATTCCCTCTGAGCTGTTTCCTCTTTGTGAGCTCAACTAGGTTGCTGGCAGCATCTTTGGATTACTGAAATCTGACTCTAGGTTGAGGTAAGTCATGTGCCTACGGGTCCATCTCAGAGAGGTCAAGATATCGGTCCCCCTCAAAATGCAATTCAAATTAAGAACTACACCTCAGCAGCAGCATGTGCCTGCAATCTCAGCTACTCAGGGGGATGAGGCAAGAGGATTAAGCCACAGGCGAGCTTGGGAAACACAGCAAAAGTTCCATAAAAACTGTTTCTCAACAAAAGTCCCATAAAAACTGTTTGGGGCTAGAGCTGGAGTTCAGTGGCAGAACACAGTCTAGCATATGTGAGACTCTGGTCAGATCCCCAACACCAGAAAAGAACAAAAAGCTAACGTGCATATACACAGTGCACAAGCCACACAGATTTCCAACTCTTTGCCCCGATGGCTGCCAGCATCAGGCAATTCTACCACCATGGTGCTGCAGCCAGCCTCTGCTGTGCTTGGCTGGCTAGGTCAGCCGGCCCCGCTGTGGCCCTCACCCATAAACTGCATATCTGAGAGGCCCACTGACGTCCAGATTTTGAGAGTCTTCTTTTTTTCTCTTCTTCTCAATCATCTGGGCCAGGACATTGCCAAGTGCCAACAGAGCGCCACTGTGGACAGATAGGAATGAGAAAACAAGAGCACTCCCACAGAGACACGCCTTTCCTTCTCGGAGCTGGAAGGCTGCTGGACCACACTGCGGACAGACAGTGGATCTTCATCAGGCAGCTGCCAGAGCCCCAGGTCAGAGTGTGGAGGCAGCTCGGCCTCGCTCCACATGTGATCCATGAGCTCCAGCACTGGACACACCAAGGCCAATATCCCGGTCGTGCTGTAGACCATTTACACAATACCACCATCCTGTGAGTCAGGAAGGTGACACTGTTCTGTATTTTGACTGTGGTGTCAAAATACATACCATATAATCCCACACACGTGGTAAAACTTCAAGAACTCAACACACATAGACGAACACAAGAAAAACAGAATATCTGATCATTTGTGGGTCAAGAGTATGCCAACATTCTGGATGTGATACTGTATTATGGTTTTGAAAGCATTTCCAATGGGTACAGTGGTGCACAACTGTAATCCCAGCAACTCAGGAGGCTGAGACAAGAGGATCCCACATTCAAGGCCGGCTTTGGTAACTTGGCAAGACTGTCTCAAAATACAAAATAAAAGGACTGGGATATAGCTCAGTGGTTAAGTGCCTCTGTGTTCAATCCTCAGAGATGCAGGGGGAAAGTTTCCAAAGGGTACTAGAGATATTTGTGTTGTTTCTTACAAGTATGTGCAAATCTATATCACTGCAATAAAAATTTCAATAAAGAAGGTAGAAAAAGGCCTAGTCACACCTTCTGAGGCTAGAGTTCATAGCTGCTTCCTGAAAGCTATAAAATCCAAAATTTTAGCTGGGCACAGTGGTACACACCTGTAATCCTAGCACTGGGGAGGCTGTGGCAGGAGAATCACAGATTCAAGGCTAATCTAGGCAACTTAACAAAATGGTATCTCAAAATTTTATATTTTAAAAGCGTGGAGGTGCAAGTCACTGGCAGAATGCCTCTAGGTTCAATCCCTGGTACCAGACACACATGCACAAATCCAAAATTCTTAGTGTGGACTTACAGACACCCCTACCCCAGTACTGGGGAAAGAACCAGAGGTGCTCTACCACTGATCTGCTGCGCAGCCCTCAGGCTCCCCTCTTTTCTCACCTATCTACCTTCCCACTGCAATCTGCACCTGCACCACCCCCAGCACCTTCCTCCTGGTGGTGCCCTCTGCCCCCAGAGCTATTGCTTCATGTCTCTGCAGCCCGTTCAATGTTACTTCTGCAGGAAAAACTTCCCTGACCGTTTTAGGTCACATATTTATCTGCTGTTTCTCCAGTTCTTCGTAGTTCCGGGAGAGGGGGAACTTCTGCAGCTGTTTTGAACGCAACTGTTTGCCCAGCACACACGAAGCACGCCATGCATTTATGAATGGCTGAATTAGTAAAACAAAGAGAACAACCCTACAAACTTAGTAAACCCAAGAAAGAAGGAATGACTCATAAAAACTTGAATACTCAAAGAAAGGGCAGAGCTCGCCAGCTCTGTCGTGCTGGCAACAGTCTTTTGATGGGGAGGTCCCTCCAGAAGGCTCTGGTCTACACCTGGAGGGGCGACGACCTCGCTCAGGACCCAACCTGCAGGCCGCCCCTTGCTTCTGCTCAAACAGGGCAGTGGGGTCACCTTGACGCCTGCGGCTTTTGCCCTGGGCGCCCACGGGCTGCAGAGCGGTCAGCGCAGCTCTGTGCTGCGGGGTGGCCCTCCCTTCCGCCAACTTCCTTTCCCCTGCGCCCCGTTCTCCTCCCCTCTGCCTGCCTCTCTTGCCCTGCAGCCCCTCTCTCCCCTCTCCGACGACCCCTCCTGCCGCACACCCACCTGCTGGCCGCCTTGGTGAGCACCGGGTAGAGCCGTAGCAGCAGCAGGTACTGGGTGAGCGCGCGCCGAGGGAGCGACCCGAGCGCGGCCTCAGACCGCAGCCTGGACGCCGCAGGCGCCATCACCGTCCCCGCTGCGCACAGCCCCGGGCGCCGACCCGACTGCAGGGCAGTCGGGCGCTGGACCCGGGGCCCGGGGTCGAGGAGGCGGGGCGGGGACACCCTGACATTTCCCGACTCACCACGAGCCGCATCGCGGCCCGGCACCCACACTGCCGTGCGCGGCGCGCACCTCCGCACACTTTTCCGCGGTCCCTGGCAGTGCACCGTCCCCCCTGGCGCCGTTGCGGATTGGAGCCCCTCAGGGCGGAGCAGGGCGGGGCCTCTGCGCGGACGTCAGCCTCCCGCCTCCGGATCCTTTCCCTAAGGCAGTGCGCCTGCGCACGCGCGAGCCTCGGCTCCGACGGAACGGCCGCCGATTGGATCGCCGCCCTTCAGGCGAGGCGTCTGATTGGACGGCCGGTGCTTCCTGTATCTCGCGAGAGCCGGTGGGAACGCGCCAAATTCGTCCCGGAGGCTGAGGAGTTCCGCGAGCGCTGCGATGGTTCTGAGGAACAGCGGGCTGCGGCGCGCGGAGCCGGGCGCGGACGGCGAGGCCAGCCGGTGAGGGCCAGGGTCCTGCTCCCGGGGCGCCCGCAGGAGCGGCGGCTGAGCGGGCGGGGGCGTGGCTGGGGAGGCCGCGGGCCCCAGGCGGGCGCAGGACCAGCGGGGCAGCTTCGCGTGTGGAAAGCCCCCGAGGCGCTTGCGGCCCGAGCCTTCCCGGGTTCGGGCGGAGCGGCGTTCGCCTGGGTTCACGGGTGCAGCGCGCCCAGCCGCGTCCCGGCCCTGGAGTGCTCTTCCTGGCGCCAGCCGTCCCCGCTCCGACGCGCGCTTGGTGCTGTGCTCACCGCCGATAGCTGGCGGAGGCCGTCCAGCCTTTGTACAAAGCCCCAAGGTCGCCTCCAGTTTCCGCAGAGCCCTGGCTGCTCCGAGCGGTTGGGTGAGCTGGTTCCCACCGGCCAAGGGCTGTCAGAGGACGCCTCGCCCCTTCTGTGCAATGTGGATGTATAGGAAGTAACCATTTAACATACAGACGGTCCTCTTCTAAGGCTCACCGTGAAAACTGAATGACAGTGTCAGTGGTGCCGAGCGAATATCGCACTTGCTGTCTTGTGACGGTCCCCCGTTTTCCAGGTTTTGTCCTGTGACTGGATAAAAAGGGACATGCGCAGTTTAGAGAAAGGGTTCCAGAGAAGGTCGAGCTGAGCGAGCAGCTTTCCAGCCCCACCACTCCACGAGCAGGCTTCACTCGGCCTTTGTTTTGATAAAGATCTGGGCCTCAGCCTGAAGCCTGCTTTCTAGCAAGGCCTCGGGTAGTTTTTCTGTGTTCTTGATTAAAGGTGAATCCAGATGTTGTAGAGAGAAAGTCGACGGTAGAATGGGGCTGTTTCCTGTCGCGCTGACATAACAGAGTGTCACTCACTCCTGCTCACCGACTGAAGCAGTATGAACTTGTTGTCTTATCATTCTAGAGGCTGGGAGACCTGGAGGCTCTGGGAGCTATTCTGTTTCCTTGCCTGTTACAGTTTCCAGAGGCTGCCTTAGCTACCTGAATCTTCAAAGTCAGCATTGTCCTATCTCCGGTTTCTCTCTAGTTCCCTCTCCCTGGACCCTTGTAATTACATTAGGCCCACCTGAGTAATCCTTACCTGTAGATCCTTAACTATATCTGCAAAGTCCCTTTCCTCCTGTAGCAGACACGAATTTGGGGGATTAGGACATATGGGGCCATTAATCTACTTACCATGGTGGTTATCATTCTTTACAAAAAAGTAAGGCTTTTAGTCTTGTAATGTAGTCAATCTCTTTCTCAAATGTAGGTGACCCAAGTAATAACCTTCACACAAAAGAAGGCTTGTTCTGAAGAAACAGTTGTATATCCACTGGTTTGTAAGCTAACAATTGGTGTTATAATTAAGGGCATGAATTATGTGTGGGCTTAGTTTAGAGCATTTATATGTTTCTGTAACTGGTTCTGTTTTGGATATTTAGCTTTTTAAATGGCTTCCCCCCCTCCTTTTAAAAATATACTTGTGATGAGCATCTATATGTTAAAAGGTTATTTCCTATACATCCAGCTCCTTGGCATAAACTCACAGAAGTGGCATTGTTGAATGAAGTGATACAGCCATATTTTAGGAACCCTCAGCTTATAGAGAAATCTAATAGTGTTTGAGATGGTGTGATCACATAGTTTCATCAAGAATTGTGGTATTTTCAGCCAGGCACAGTGGCACACGCCTGTAATCTCATTAGTTCAGGAGGCAGAGGCAGGAGATTGTGAGTTCAAAGCCAACCTCAGCAACTGCAAGGCACCAAGTAACTCAGTGAGGCCCTGTCTCTAAATCAAATACAAAATAGGGCTGGGTATGTGGCCCAGTGGTTGAGTGCCCCTGAATACAATATACCCTGTACCAAAAAAAAAAAAAAAAAAAGTGCTATTTTGTGGAAATACAGCAAGTGGGTTGTCAGTGGCTAGAATCAGACCCCAGGAGCTGGAAAGGGGTGGAAGGGAAGGATTGATGTCTGTGAGGAGTTAGAAGAGAACACTTTCAAGACCTGGATTCCTGTGAAATAACCCATGTCATACTGGCTGGAAGAGCATATGAAATGTGCCCAGGAGAGAAGCCAGCAGGAACCAGAGCTGATTGCTTGCCTGTGCCTGCCTGGCTAGGCTGTAGCTGTGAGAATCTGGTCACACCTGCACAGGAATTATATGTGTGCCATCTCGCACCTCCATGTTAGCCCCCTCTTAACACATCTGTGTCTCCTCACTGCTTTTTTTTTTTTTTAATAAAGACTTTTTTTTTTAAAGAGAGAATGGGGGGGGAGAATTTTAATATTTATTTTTTAGTTATCAGCGGACACAACATCTTTGTTTTGTATGTGGTGCTGAGGATCGAACCCGGGCAGCACACATGCCAGGCGAGCGCGCTACCGCTTGAGCCACATCCCCAGCCCCTCCTCACTGCTTTTTAAAGTGCTGATTCACATTAAAAAGAAACAGGGTGTTGGGTGCTTTGCTTCTGTCTTTGAAGAGTGGAGAACATGCTTAGATTAGGAAATAAATAGGCCTCTGGTCAAAATTATAAAGGCTTCAGAGTCTTAGAACTGTGTTACCCAGAGGAAACTAGCTTTTTGTATGTGTGTACATATTGGAAATTGAACCCGGAAACACTGTACCACTAAGCTATATCCCCAGCCCTATTTATTTATTTTTGAGGTTGGGTCTCACTATGTTGCTGAAGCTGGCCTTGAATTTGTAATTCTCTTGCTCTATCCTCCTGAACCACTGTGTCAGTGAAACTAGCTTTTTTGAAAGTTAGAATGCTAATAAACATAAGGATTGCTATATTTCGAAGATTGGTAAACTGAAATTGTACTGGTTCATCCAGGTGTCATCACTCTGTGAAGCTAAAGACTATGAACATTTTGGGACAGGAACAGCTCTAGAATCAGAATGGGTTTGATAGTTCTGGTGGTTGAAAATCTTCATTAGGTATTGTATTTAAGATTTATGATAAAGTCTATATGAAGACTGAAGACTTATTACAAGATCCTAACCAAAGAAAGGTGTGGGAAGTTTGAGGCTGATACAATGTTACTATAGAGCTGAGAAATTAGTTTCCTTGTTAGTGGAGACCATTTCTCTCCCACAGAAAAATAAATCCTCATTTTATCAACATTTAACTGCTGACCTCTAGAGTCAGGTGCCTTACAGGATATGATACCTTTTTAAGGTATCGTTTATTTTGCCACAGCAGGTATTTTTGTGACCCTAGTCATATCAATTGGCAAATGGTTGGAGGGTATCAGTAAAATTCAGAAATGGTTAATCTGGAATTTTTCCTAGACAAGAAGAATTGCAACAAAAGAGCAGAATTATAATCTTTCATAGGAAAGGGAAAAGCTCTTAGCTGGAGTCTTTTACATATATGTGCCCTGTTGGCTCTGCTTTAAGAAACTTAATATGAGCACCTGGGCTCCCTGTGCAGAGTCTCATCCTGGTCCTTGCTTGATTCTCAGCAAGTGGTGGACTGCTCTTTTCTCCTGTACTTAGAGTCCACTGCATCTTTTTCATCTCAGCAATCATAAGCCAGCATCTCTACTCTCATTTTTGCATATTTAAAAAGAAACACCTTTTAATGTTGAGATACAATCAGAAATAATAAAAACCAGATTTCTCCACTGGTACTGTTGTACATGAGGAGTTTTGTGTCGTAGCTGGGAATCAACACTGATCCCATCCCCTCAGCCTCACATGCACTTTGATGTATGTGTGTGCACTTGGTTTTATGCAGTTTTGTCATAGGATATCCATGTGGCCACCACCCAGATCAAGCATGGAGCAGTGTAGGAGAGTTCTACATGCTGCCTTTTATGACTGTAGCCATTCTCCCATGCTTGTTGATTGTTAATCTGCTTTCCATTCCTATAATTTTATTTCAAATGTCCTATATAAGTGGAATCGTGAAGTTTGTGATTGGGGGTTTGGCTTTTAATCATGCAGTATAATTCTCTTGCAATCCATCCAAATTGTGTGAATCCATTTGTTGCTGAGTGTATTCATATATGGATAAACCACAGTTCACAACTTGCCTGTGGAGGAATAACTGGGTCATTTGTTGGTTTTGGCTATTATGTGGACATTCACATACACTGTTTTTGTATGAACATTGGTTTTCATTTCTCTTGGATAAGGAATACAGTGCTGGTTTTTATGTATTTATAGTATCACATAAGATAGAGCATCCAGCTCTGATTGCTGTTTTGATTAGTGGTCTCTTTCCAAAGTCAGACAGGTTTAGAAGAGCCTGCTGTTGTC